AGATTCTGAATTAAGCCAGTCCTTACCTTCACATAAGATTAAAAATCCAAACTCCAAAAATCAGACATCGAAAAGTAAGAGTAGGGGCTCAAACTGAGGATTCTGAAAGCTATGCATTTGTGATACATTAAACCACAAAATCGCTTTAATAAATATGTTCAACATAACCAGATGAGCAGGAGTTCCAATGATAGTGTAGTTGATGGATTTGATACATCAAACTAAGGTTAATCTAGTTAAGCTTTGGGATTAAAGTAGCTGAAATTTTTGAAGTTTGTAGAAAGATTGATTCCTTTGTTTTGTATGTCTTGATCATGCCCTTCCCCATGCCCCCTTCAAAAAACAAAATTCGAAGATTTGGCACCTGTCCTCTGTGATTACATCTTTAATGAACATAAAAGACCTGGGAATAAACTTCGTGTTTTGATTCATAGGTCACACTGGACTGGACAAATAGAAGAAATAACAAAACCTAACCAGATGGAACTGGATCTCATGCTGGATAACAAACATGCTGTTATGTTCTCAAAGAATTTAAGCACCCAAAAGTTCAACAATGATTTTTTACAAGAATTATTTTTCCAATGGAAACTTATTCGAAATGACCATCTATATACTATAAGGGTCTCAATGCCATTCAAATGACCAACTAAATTATGATATAGTTTTCAATGATATATGTTACTAAGTGAACAAATCCATTTTTAGAAATAAATAGATAGGGTTTTATTCAATTATCTTTAGTACCAATACACTAAACTAGCAGTAAATCTGAAAAGTATACTAAAGTTACTTTCTTACTGGCTTACAGTTTTATTACACTCTTATTCTATTCTGATTGCTTTTCAGATTGTCTCCTAACATTTCAGTTTAAAATGTGTCTAACTATTGGTTTTCCTAATAACCCTGCAAACTAAAGATCCACAAATACATATATATTTAAAGTAAGTTTTCAAGTAACTTTTCGTTAAACAAATAGAATTTTATAGTTTGAATTAGCTATCTTCTAATTGTCTGTTTTAGCAGGGCCCAGATTATCATTTACCAACACATATCATTCTCTAAAGCAAAATTTTTATTCTTAGGGGGAAAAAACTATAGAATGACTCTACCAAATTTTCTCATAATTGTCACCTTTAAATATTTCCCTCTTCTATCCTCAGCCAATTTTCTCTTCAAGGACATTTTTAACTGTATCACATCTTTCATTAAATGATAATAGACTTTAAACATTTAGCATTATGCCCTGCACAAAATAAGCATTTAATAAGTGAACTGCCATTATCTTCATTATAATTATTACTATTATTCAGAGGTTCAGAACTTCAGTTCTGAAAATTATATGGAAGAAAATAATCTTGTATTTCCCATGTTCAGTGAGTATACAGTACTCAATTTAAATGATGATGCTGTAACAGTATTATACTTAATAATGCAACTGATAAAAAGTCAACTTTGCTTTAAACAAATATTACCACAGTAGAATATTACTCAATATAATCATTTTAAAGTTCTACTCTAACAATCTAAAGTAATATACTGTGGATCTGATTACACATTATTACACATCCTTTGGTACAACAAATAATGTTTTCTATACAGGTCTATATAACTATCAGTTCCTAATAAAAAAGTTGACTAGTTGTGTATTATAATATAAGCTTAAATATCTTAATCTTCAAAGTGCCTGTAATGATGGGTAAGGAAAAATATTTCCATGTAAGTAAAATTTAGGTTAAATTTAATATTACAGCACCCTTCCAAAATGAAAAGAATAGGTAGCCAAAAAGATATTAATGTGTTTCCTTTCTAAATGCTTCCTGATGGTTGAATAGGTATGCCAATGGGCAAAGATCCAAAGAGAGACAAGATAAGGTCAAAGAGGACAAAAACTGCTAAGTTATCTAACAACTGAAGACAACAGGAATATATTTAATTATAAGACCATATCCACATATGGCATGCCACTTCCATTTTACTTGGCAGGTGGTTTTTAAGTTAAAGTGATAAACAGTTCAGCTCTTAGGAGAAAACCCATGTCAGATTTAATTATACTATAGTTAAGGAATACTCAGAATAAGAAAACATATTGTGTTAGACTAAAATAACCTCAAAATCACTACTTTTGAGTTGATAATCATCCTAATATTTTTATCATATAAAATATGACATAAAATATCA